AAGCAACTTCCTTCGGATAGAAACAAAATATTAAAATTTTTCCCTTAATGAATAATGAATTGTCCTTAGAAGATCAGTGTTCCAGATGCTTCAAACACAGGGTTCTAACTATTGTGCAAAAGGATTAACTAAATAATGATTAATAATCGATACCATTTGCCAATAAGGAGCTATTCTGAAGTGGTAATTTAAATTGGGCAAGTAGATCTTTGTAGCTTCTATCTGATTAGAGTATCTTCTTTGATGGTTTTACATCCCATAAACGGATAGAGTAATCTGAACTACCAGATGCTAATGTAGTACCATCAGAAGAGAAATTGACTGAATAAACTTCACTTGAATGACCCTCTAATTTGGCTTTTATTATCCTGTTTTAACATCGCATTAACGGATAGACATTCTTATTCCGGCCTTAGGGAGCTTAGGAAAACCATTCATATTCCGACCGCGCTGGCTTGGAAAATCCAGCTGTCTTGTTTAGGTACGGACCGTTATTGGTGAATTTGGCAATTTCCAAAATCTAAAGGAAAAAGGGGCTTTTATATAAAAAAAAAATAACCTTTTAAAATTATGCTTTTACTCTTCTAGCAGAGCTTGAGAGGGTATTGCTTCCTTGATAACATTTATCCCTAAATACCCTGTTTTGTTTTGATTAATTGAAAAAAAGGAATTTAATTAGTTTCAGTTACTTTATTTTAGAATCATGCTTGATGTTAGAAAAAATATTAGATCTAATTACCTTTATTGTGTTAATTTAATATAACTTTTAGGATGTAGAATTTCTCCCTCATGTTACAGATTTTTTAGATTCACTTACTACAAGAAATTTAGAAATAACTTTCTCCCCAAGAGGTTATTAAAATTATCAGTTGATTAAAGATTTTTATAATATATAACTGATACCTTTATTTAGGTACTTTATAATAATAATCAATCTTGTTTCATATGTTTATAGTTTCTAATAGCAAACTTCATTTGGATTTGAATAAGGGTTATAGATTCTAATCTTAATAAATTACAAATATTCCTTTAAAAATTAAAGCTTTAAAGTTTCCAAAATTGGATTTTGACATATTCATAGTATTATGCGATTAAAATTAGCTAAAAATGTTAATTTAAATTTGAATGACCATTGACTTATTATTAATAGTTTTTGTTTCTTTTACTCACTACCATAAACTCTTTTTGAAACAAACTTCCTCATTTTCTTATTTTGTTTGTTTTATTAGTGAGGAGTGCTGTACAAAACTGAGACATTAACACAGTTAGGATAATCAATTTCTGAAGAATTAATAATGTGTAATGCATTGTTTTATAATAATCAATTTTATTGTTTTCGTTATCCAATTTAGTTTTCTAAAATGCAGCTACCTCTTTATTAAAATAATGTCCTCAAGTCAATGCCTGATTGATTAATAAATTCTCCTTTCAAAATTAGAGCACCTTATGATTAAAATAGTAGCTATTTTGATATGATAAGGGTAATTAACAGGAGAATTTACTAAATTATGAATGAAATAAATACCACTTTCTGGAAGAAGGTTGTTGTTTAAGATTTGATGAGAAAATTAAGTTATGAATATTTGATAACGATTATCTAAGGGTAAGATTTATTATCCTGTCTTAACATCCCATAAACGGATAGACTTATCATAACTACCAGATGCTAATGTAGTACCATCAGGAGAGAAATTGACTGATAGAATTCCATTTTTTATGACCATCTAATTTGGCTTTTTATTATCCTGTCTTAACATCCCATAAACTGATAGAGTTATCTCCACTACCAGATGCTAATGAAGTACCATCAGGAGAGAAATGGACTGATATAATTCCATTTGAATGACCATTTAATTTGGCTTTTTATTATCCTGTCTTAACATCCCATAAACGGATAGAGTTATCATAACTACCAGATGCTAATGTAGTACCATCAGGAGAGAAATGGACTGATATAATTCCATTTGAATGACCATTTAATTTGGCTTTTTATTATCCTGTCTTAACATCCCATAAACGGATAGACTTATCATAACTACCAGATGCTAATGTAGTACCATCAGAAGAGAAATTGACTGATAGAATTCCATTTTTATGACCATCTAATTTGGCTTTCTATTATCCTGTCTTAACATCCCATAAACGGATAGAGTTATCTCCACAAACAGATGCTAATGTAGTACCATCAGGAGATGAAAT